TCTAAAGGCCCCATGGGTAAAAAAAAAATTAATAAGTGTGTTTTTTTTTGTTTTTGTTTTTTTTTGGGGGGAGGCTGATAAGGTACAGAACTTTGGGCAGTTTCCACCATGCTTTGTTTTACATACTCAGTATGAAGGTGGCCACCTTGTTAGAGAGGTAAGGCTTGGCTTCCTCATATTCAATCTGCCCACCTGATGGCTGGTTGTCCATCTGGTGGAGGAATAAGAATTAATGAAGAGACCCTTGCACTGCAGGTTCTCAGGTATAGCTTCATCTACAGCAGGGAGTGACCAGCACCAAATCTCATTTCAGCATTTCAGGTCCGGTGTGACTAGAACTGGCAGCAGTGTCTCAGCCGGTTCAGCTGAAACCTTCCTACTTTTGGCCCATGTGTAGAGCTGCCTGTTCCATAAAAGCTGGTCTTACGACTGGCTTCTGTCAAATGGACATGCTGGAAAACCAGCATCCAATCATTGGGGAGGCTATGGCACTAACATCGCTTATGTTGGTTTGGTGATCCCTTTTTTTTTTTTTTTTTTCCCGCTGGGCTGCACAAAAAAAAAAAAACTAGTGTGTACCCAGCTTTAGATACTCCTGACTGCAGACATACAGCTCAAGGCTCAATAATGCCTAGGCAGTACTGCTATGTTTCAGGAGGAATCCAAGAAAAATAGGTAAAATTAAAATTTCTAGATTTTCATATAACAAAGCAACTTCAGGTCTATTTTAAAGTAAACCAGGTAATACCGGTTATCGCATCTAACAATATCCATGCTTGGTGGCTATTGTAAGCTCTGTTTCTCCATCTTTCTCATCATAACTCTAGCAATCCCTAGATGGCAACTATAAAACGTCAGTGCAGAAGATCCACTTTAGTTATTTTTACTTTAGATTCCGTTATGCCTGTTTTCCCATCGACTGGGTTTATATTTCTTTTGGCTGACCTCAACAAATCATTGCACCTAGACAGGAAGGCTGTGTAATATTTTGACTATCTTTAAAGCCTCATGCACACTGGGAGCTGAGTGCCACTTCTAGAAGCATTTGACTTTTTTTTTTTTTGGTCTCTGCTGCTAAACGCCCCTTAATGATAGCATGTGTGTCCATGCACACATAGGTGTTTTAGAGGCAGAAACAAAACTAGGCACATCAAGGACTTAGTTCATTTACTTGGCCAGAATAGTACATTTATTCTGGCCACTGAAATGAATTAACACCCAAACACTTGACATACCTATACAAGTGTTTTTTTTTTTTTTTTTTTTGTTTTTTTTTTAAATGGGTTTTAGGCATGTTTTTGACACCACATTTCTTGTACCAGGAGACCAGCTTTCAGGAGAGCAGAACAAATATCCAGTGTGCATGAGGCCTGAAAAGTCTGATTTCCAGTCTGAGTGTTTTCACAGCTTCTGTCTAAGGATCATAGGGGTTCAGCAAGGAGCAGGAAGATCCGGACGGCTGCACTCCAGAAGTACAATCTATCTTTATAGAAACAAATCCATATAACTCAGCATACAAAAGTAGTATGATCACAGTTGGGGGCAATGAGCGGTTATAACTTCACTCCCCCATTGTGATCATACTGTTTTGTGTGCTGACTTCTCAGGATTTGTTTCAGTAAAGGGAGATTTTACTTCAGAGGTTCAGCCATGCGGATCTTGCTTCTCCATGTCTGTAAGTTGCTCTGTGAGCTGGGCTGGCACCTGCTCAGAATATGGTGAGCGTCAACAGCAGTGGACCACCCTGGAACAGCATCCCTATCTTTACATATACTGTCAGGGGTTCAGCAAAACCAAACAAAGATTTCAATCTGATGCAATTGGACTGATTCAACATGTAGGCTCTGCCATTTTAAAAAGGCAAGTATGGTATTTAAAAAAAAAAAAAAAATTAACATACTCACCTAGGTGGATGCTGCACCTGTGCCCCACTGCCTCAAAGACCGAGAACTGAGCAATCAAAGACCACTAATCACTTGGTTATCGGTCTTCAGTGAGCAGAGAGCCGGTGACCACCACTCTCCAGCGCTCACTGGAGCATCGGGCTGTGGAGGGGGTGGGGCGGGGGCAGTGGGCTCAGGCTTTCAGTGGCTTGCTGGGAGGCTGAGCCAGCTGCTGGTCAGGCATGTGAGTGGATCATGACAGTAAAAGTCAGGATCTCTCGAAAGTTGGGACCGTTGGCCGACAGTGGATTTTAGCCCGCCGTTAGCTGAATACAGGTCACAGGAGTGCACTTAGTTCTTCAAAGAACTTTGGCAATACTTCTCCTTTTTTTTAAATAATTTTAAATTCAAAATTGTCCTATCTGATTAGTTTACACTAGAATACAGCCAGTCGGCCATTGTGTATAATGGCAATAATAGGATCCCGTTCTAGTTCTATCATCGTTTGTTGTTCTACAACACAGAATTTTTTTCTTGTTGAATTGGAGTCGCATTTCTTTAGCTTTGGATTTCTTTGTTGGTAAAATAACTGAAAACCAAAGTGCCTCTTTTATGAGCATCTTACTGTTCTGGAAGCTCTACAAATAGCAGCATGAAATGGACTTGAAAATTCTGTTAGATGTTTCTTCACTCTGAGAAATTCTCCCAGTTAAGAGTCTGACTGATACCTGTATAATAAAGTGGAACTTTAGTTTAGTAAGGGGGAAGGCACTGAATAGTGTCGGTAAATACCTTTCTGTTTTGTCAGGCTAGAGATATGTAAATATGTACTTTTCAGAATTAAAAATTGGACCTCTGTGAAATAAGAATTTCCAATTTTCAACAGAGAATGACAGTTGATAAAAATGCAATTTATATTTTGTTTGTTTAGTGTTGTGTGTGTGCTCTTTTTCTGTGGTTTTTCTTTTTTTTTTTTTTTTTTTTTTTTTTTTTTTTTTTTTTAGCTGAGCACCAGAATTGGGATAAAAAAAAAATAAAGAAAATAAAAGTTGCTGTGTGGCCTCTGTGCACTGAAAGTGTTAATTGCTCGTTAAGCTAGGGAATAGAGAAAAATGTTGCAGTACTTACCTTATTTCTTGCTCCCCTCAAGCACTTTTTTTCTTTTACCTTTTTTTTCTTTTTGCTTCATTTACTTTGGGCTATCGGTCGTGGACAGGTCCTTGCTGTGCTCACATATACAGTTCAGGACTACTGGTCTTGCGTTGTATATGATGACATCAGTGTGTGACTGCCTGGCCAGAGTGCCTTTTAAAATTGGTTCTAGGCAGAAAGTATTATTTTTTTTTACCTTAATGCATTTTAAATCTCCCAAATACTTACCTGTGCCTAATCTCGATCCAGCAATGCGCACAAGAGCAGCAGCTTTCTTCTCATTGGATAGAGGGGCATCAGCAGCAGCCATTGCCTCCTGCTGCTTTGAATTACAGCCAATGAGGAGAGAAAGGTGGGGCCAAGCCAATGGACACACAGCCCGCTTGGGTGCGAGCACAAACGATTGCTCCCATAGCATGGGGGAGGGGGGCTAGGAGCGGTGGGGGCGACCTGAGAAGAGGAGGATTGGGGCTTCTCTGCAAAACCATTGCACAGAGCAGGTAGGACAAGTTTATTTTTAAAAACATTTATACCTTTTTAGAATCACTTTAAAGAAAAAGCTTTGGGGAATGGGTTGCATAACGTGGAGGAAGGCTGCTTGACTGAGGATTAAGGTAAGTATTGCAACCTATTCCTCAACCCAAGCACTAGGAAGAAAAATAACCTTGCAGTGGGCCTCCCCGCACTGCAATTTTTCATTTTTTTTTCAGTTCCCAGAGTTGGGCTTTTAAAAAATAAATCATTAATTTGAGTGGTTATGCTTTTAAATAGGTTGAGAACTAAACTTGACATTCAAGGCATGCCGTGAGTGATAACTGTCAGTTGCTTGTGCTGCTTACGCTTGTTTGGTTGTCAAACCATCAAATGGCTGGTGTCAAAACCAAATCACATGTGCAACACTGTGGCAACTGCAGGTAAAACTGAGGCCAAGATGGCAGCTTCCCTGACTGTAAAGGATAGGAGGGTTTAGTTCTGATTTTTAAATGGCTTTTTCCCCCCCCTAATAGTAATTTCGACGTGCAGGCAGATGGCTAAATACACTGTTGGAATAAATGAGTGACGTGTTTTACCATATAAAAATGTAATTTTGTTCAGTCAGTTTTCCATTTAGGCCTCATGCACACAGGGCATTTTTACTGCCGCTTTTAAGGGCATCAGGCTTTTTTTTTTTTTTCTTGCTTCCAAACTCCCCTCCATGTTAACCTATATGTCCATGCACACATAGTATTTTAGCAGCGTTTAGAGTAGGGAAAAAAAAACACCACCAGTGCATCCAGAGCTTGAGTGTTAATTAATTTCAATGGCCAGAATAAATTATTATTCTGGCCAAAGCAATTAATTAATGCCAAGTGCTTGATGCCTGTAAATGTGCCTAAAACGCTTGTAAAAGTGGCACACTTTTTTTTTCACTGCTACCAGGAGGTTTCTCTAGTTGAGTTTTCAAATGTCCTGTGTACATGAAGGCTTACTCCTCTCCATCACAAGCAAAGCAGTCCTGGCCAAGCATAGACCAAAATTTGGCTGGTTCAGCAGGGAAACGGCAACACAGACTGAAATTAAAATACTTCTTGTTCTCTAGTAGAAGAAAACTAGAACTCTTGTTAAATTTTTTTTTTTTCTTCTGTCTGTGTACCTGTTGCAGATTTTTCCTCACTACCTGTCTGGTTGAACCGTTGTCAGCAGGACAGAAAGCAAGGGGAAGCGCATCAGGGGTAGTCCTTCCCTATGCTATCCAAATGAAAAAAAATGTTTTTGGCTTGACATATACTTTACATGTATACCCTTGCCTATATATCTGTATCTCTCTATCCCCTCCAAATCTTTGGATTTAGGTGTTCCAATCACCTCCATGGCCATATGTGTATAAAATCAAGCAACTAGGCATGCAGACTGCTTCTGCAAACATTTGTGAAAGAATGGGTCACTCTCAGGAGCTCAGTGAATTCAAGTGTGGTACTGTGATAGGTTGCCACCTGTGCAATAAGTCCATCCGTGAAATTTCCTTGCTACTAAATATTCCACAGTCAACTATTGGTGGTATTATAACAAAGTGGAAGCAACTGGGAATAACGACTCAGCCATGAAGTGGTAGGCCATGTAAAATGACAGAGCGGGATCAGCACATGCTGAACACAAAGTGCGCAGGAACTGTCTGCAGGGTCAATAGCTAGAGACCTCCAAACTTCATGTGGCATTCAGATTAGCACAACAACAGTGTGTAGAGAGCTTTATGGAATGGGTTTCTATGGGCGAGCAGCTGCATCCAAGCCTTACATCACCAAGTGCAATGCAAAGTGTCAGATACAGTGGTGTAAAGCATGCCGCCACTGGACTCTAGAGTAGTGGACATGTGTTCTCTGGAGTGACGAATCACACTTCTCTGTCCGGCAATCTGGTGGATGTGTCTGGGTTTGGCGGTTGCCAGAAGAATGAGACTTGTCTGACTGCAATGTGCCAAGTGTAAAGTTTGGTGGAGGGGGGATTATGGTGTGGGGTTGTTCTTCAGGGCTTAGGCTTGGCTCCTTGGTTCCAGTGAAGGGAACTCTTAAGGCATCAGCATACCAGACATTTTTGACAATTTCATGCTCCCAACTTTGTGTGAACAGTTTGTGGGTGGCCCCTTCTTGTTCCAACATGACTGCACACCAGTGCACAAAGCAAGGTCCAAAAAGATATGGATGAGCGGGTTTGGAGTGGAGGAACTTGATTGGCCTGCACAGAGTCCTGACCTCAACCCGATAGAACACCTTTGGGATGAATTAGAGTGGAGAGTGTGAGTCAGGCCTTCTCGTCCGAGATCAGTGCCTGACCTCACAAATGCGCTTCTGAAGAATGGTCAAACATTCCCATAGACACACCTAAACCTTGTGGACAGCCTTCCATGAAGAGTTGAAGCTGTTATAGTTGCAAAGGGTGGGCCAACTCAATATTGAACCCTACAGACTAAGACTGGGATGCCATTAGAATACTTTTGGCAATATAGTGTATATATCCTTGCAAAATAAATAAATAAATGTATATATGGGGTGTTCAAGTCAAACCAGGACTTTTTAGTTTCTATAACAAAAAAAAAAAAAAAAATTTCAAGGATTTTCAATACATTTATTTTTTTGGACATACTCCCCTTCTACACATACACTTATCCCAGTGTTTACTGCCTGGAAAGCTTCAGCATACAAAGATTTGGCAGCACGTCTGAATCATCCTAGGACAGCCGGCTTCACATCATCATCATTGTGTTCCCCGTTCCCACAGAAAGATTAGTCTTTTGTACAATTTCATGACCGGTATTGCATCGATTATCCAGGAGCAGGCAATTTACCCACTGAATGTACACAGGAATGACTGCTGTGGACTGGGAATCACCACGGCCAGGATAGTCACTGACGGATAGCCATCTTTGAAATGTTTACACCATTCAAATGTCTTTATTGCGGCTGAGCGTCTCATCATTGCACTGTGCTTTGAAATCTTCTGTAGATATTAGTGGGTTTTACTTCTTCGTTTACAAGAAACTTCATCACCACACGCTGATCCATGCACGCACTAACACTGTTGTCTGCCATCTTGATTAATGGTCTCTCGACTGGCCCGTGACATGTGCGCCGCCTATCAGTAATAGGACATACTTGTCACTTACTACCGCATGTAGTACCGCCACGCTACCATCCCTTTTTTATACGTAAAAAAATTACCCGTAAAATTAAAGATCCCTGTTTTACTTGAACACCCCAATATATATTTGTTACAGGTACTTGTATAGCACTGTCCATTTACACAGCCCTTTTACTTGTATATTGTACATTCACATCAAAATACAAAATCACTCTATATGTGACTCTATAAAAACCTATTTGCTCTGTGAATTTGCTGCCTGCACTGCAGCATTATTTGAAAATGCCCAACGAGACTTTAGGTTATCAAAACCTTAATTATTTACAATGAGTATCCTTCAGAGTATTAATGTACTATGCCAGTATAAAACATTTTAGTTCTTTTATATTATATTGTATTTTGTAGAGGTAACTGTAAGAGCGAACGTATCCTGATCTAATTGTGGATTCCGTTTGTAGTCCAGGAAGGTAAGCTCTCCACTCTTGCCTTCACTGTATGCTACTGAGGAGACTAGACAAAAAATGTATTTTCATCTTTATTTCTGGAATTCAAACTAGATTATTCAAGGAGGACAAGAACAACGTGCAAAGTGCAGTAACACATTGAAACCTGCCAGGATTTCTTTTTCGCTCGCTCATTTTTTGTAAAGGCTAATTGGTTGCATTGGGTTGGTGAAACGTTCGTATGCTACATCTTCAGGTAAACTTGATGGTTTTGAATATTGAAAATGGCCAGTATGAGAGGAGAAAGCTCAGTCCTTCCAACCCAACCTGCACACAGCCATCGGGGAGTTTTTTTCACCATTTAAGGTGATAAATACCCCTTCCTATGTGGTTATAATAGTTACAGTACTTGCTAAATGAGTAGATCGTTTTGTGTCTGGCTGAAACTGAGGTTTGAACACTACCTGTGCCCTTCCTTAAAGTGGACCATCACCCTAAACTAAGTCTCACATTCTTCTGCTTACCCCCTCACAGTGTGTGTTATTTAAATTTTTATGTATTTTTATTTTTTTTTTTAATTCAGAAGTTTTTTTAGTGCTACTTTGAGCACTTAAGGGAGAAAGACCTTTGTGTAGCATGCACACAGACGGTTATGGGGCATCTCATGCTTGTGCACAGATATGCCGAAGAGTTCTGCCAAGACCCAAAGGCCAGGCAGAGCCCTTCAGCATGTCTGCCGTAATGGTAGAGGGGGTGGACAAAGCCACGATAGAGGAATTAAAGTGGAACTGCACTGCATCTAAGCACCACACAAACCAAAAATGCTATATTGTTAATATTCAAAGCAAACTCACCCATCCATTCATGTCTCCATACAGTATGGTCTAGATGTCTTTTGATCAGAAGCCATCTAACCCGTACCGTCATTCCTGCAAGAAGAGGTGAGAAAGCCATGGAGATTTCAAATCCCCAGATCTGTGAAGCGGCTTTCTCTCCAGGATGACAGTATAGATTAGACCAGGGGTGGGCAACTGTGGCCCTCCAGCTGTTGTAGAACTACAAGTCCCATGAGGCATTGCAAAACTGACAGTTACAAGCATGACTCCCAAAGGCAGAGGCATGATGGGACTTGTAGTTCACCAACAGCTGGAGGGCCACAGTTGCCCACCCCTGGATTAGACCATGGTGTGGGTGGGTTTCCGAAGGTACTCTGGTTTCCTTCCACACTCTAAAGACATGCCAGGAGCTTAATTGGCCTTACTATGTGTATGTATGAATGTGACATAGGGACTTTAGATTGTAAGCTCCTTGAGGGCAGGGACTCCTGTGAATGTACAATATACATATAAAGCACTAAATTGATGGCGCTATATAAATACCTTTTTTTTAATAAATGTGTTTTTGTTTTTTTGTGTTTGTTTTTTTTTACCTTCATAATTGCTATAAATTTAATATATTTGAAAAATACACCCCCCCCCCCCCCCCCCCCCCCGCACACACAAAGTCACATATATAATTTTTTTTTTTTTTTCATGCGTGTCATACTACTCTTACCTGCTTTGTTGGAAAATGCTGGATTACACAGAAAAATATCAAGACAATTTTAGTCAGAACTCTGGGTGCACTGGGTACCCTGTAAGAAATATTTTATTTAAACATTCGGACCCAAAAGATCAGTTTAAAATTAAACTTTAGGCAAATGGACAATACAATTATCCCAAAATTAAACTTAAAGCAAGTGGACAATAAAATTATCCCAAAGCCATTAAAGTTTTCCTTTTCAAACTAATTGCTGATGTGGTATCTCTACTTGCTTTTCATCTCTCCTCTAAATCTTTTTTCCCATTTATGTCAGCTCTAAGCAGTCATTACTGTACCAATTTTAGCACTGCATCAAAGGATACATTTCACCAGTTTTTATTTTATGTGTAATACACACAATTTTAGTTCCTCTTAAACATTTATACATGTAATTAGCCACTCTGAAGATTATTACATCAACATTGGATAAGTGTTTCTTTTCTTTCTGAAATTACACTGTATTTTAAGATGCCACTCATATGCCTTACACATGCTAACATCTAGTATAAAACTGGTAAACAATTTTTTAAAAATTTTAAATTAGTTTTTTTTCATATTGTTCTGTTTTTCTATTAACACACTAGCAACCCAAATTTGGGAAAACAATAGCTATGCTTGCTATGTTATTTTGTTTTTGATTAAATTTGAGTCAGGGCTTGTTCACACCAATTTTGAGGTGCCATTTATTACTCTGTAGCATGCACCAACACACTAAAGTGTGTGTGCTGCCACAATGCATGTTATTGTGGTGTTGTGCTGCAGGGCTTGTCCTTAAGCAAGATTGGTTGGGTGCCATTCAGATAATTGGCACTGTATCACACCAGCGTATTTAACCTGCATTTCCCCACCTTGCAGAAAAGCACATTACCACAGCACACAGTATGAACCCTCAGTGTTTGGTTAGACGGGGATGGGTTAACAATTCTTTCCTTTTTTTATTGGATAATTTTGGAAGGTACACCTCTATAATTAGGCTGCTAGCTGCAACACCGTATGGGCAAGGGTGTCAGGAAGACCAACTCTAGTTTTTGTTAAATGTGTAGGGGTTTTTCCCCCCCCCCCCAGTATATTTGTTCCAGGAGGATTGTCTAATGGAAATTCCTTTAATCCAGTCTTTCTCAACCCTTTTGTCCAAGAGGAAGCTCAAAAATAGTTAATACATTTTTACAAAATTCAATCCATTGGGGGGTCAATGGGGAAAATGCCCTTTACATTGGGGTCAGTAGGAGGAATGCCCCCCTTTTACTGTGGCTGGCCAAATGCCACCCATAGAGAACACCAAAAAGATAATTGGATCATGCTGCTGGTTTTATCATGTACATTGGAACTGGTACTATGCAGGCACCATCCGATAAGGGTGCCGAGAAACAAAGGTTGGCCGCACTGGCAACCATCCGATAAGAAGAGGTCAATAACCAACAGCTCAATAAACCCCTAGCAACCTCCTGGAAGGTTTCAAGGAGCCCTGGATGAGCAAGGTTGTTTTAAATCACCAGTAGGAAATACTGACTCTTGTTCGGTTGGCCTTGCCATAACCTAGTTTTAAAGCAGACCTATGAATAAAATTCACACCTATAAACCTACACCATTTAGATACTGTACATATATATGGTAGCTGTTTCACCTGCCAAA